AAATTTCTTCATCTTTATTATTTTATATGTGCTAATTAATTTAAAAATAGTTAATGTATATTAACAGAAAAACTCTAAATCAAAGTTTCTTTAAATATCTGATACATGGTTTTTGAGTCAGGGAAACTGCCTAAAAATAAGAGGGTTTATTTCATCCAGGTTACTCCTACTTGGCACAATGAAATTGTTAGCCTTGTGAGGTTCTACTGCTCCCTGATCCAGGCTCCTTCATGGGGTCTGAGCAGCTGTCTCCCTGTTCCAGCCCTTCTGCCAGTTCACTTGCCCTACAGCCCCAGCTGCGTCCACCACCTCATTTAATCTGGATCTCTGTTTTCTCCATTGTACAGTAACACGGAGAGGGACAGTTTATTACTAATGTCCCTCTCAGAAGAACTCAGAACTTGGGTCCTGATGTGATCACACATGATCAACAGTTTTGAGTCACTCACTCTATGAAACAATCACAAACCAGTATGTACAACAGTGTTTTAAGTTCTGAGAAATGTTCTGTGATGCAACTTACTGCAAAGAAGCAAAAGTGATTCCGCCATCCCAGATATGAACAATTCATTTTCATGTGCACAGACTGAGTCTTAGGATATGTTTTGTGAACCTGGGTTTGTGTTTTGCTTTTTCTGTTTACTAGATGTGTGCCCTGGAGAAGAAAGTTAATCCTCAGCTTCCTCGTCAGTAAGATGGATTCAAATTTACTTCTAAAGTTCTTGTGAGAATAAAGTGAGATTCTGTAATAAAGTGCTTGTCATAGTGTCCATCTAAGACATGTAGTTTCATGAATGTCACATGAAAAGAATGTTCAACTAGTAAAAGACCATCATAATCTTTATCCTCACAACTTTGAATGGTATGTTGGTGTGGACCTGAACACATTCGATTCTGTCAGCCTGTGTCAACCTGAAAGTTTAACGAGGCTTTTCTGAAGATTCCCTCCATTTAGAAAAGAATCCTTCATTTTCTTCTCCAATTAACAATCTCCCAGGTAGACAGAGCATAAAGTGCTATTCTATTAAGTGTTTGGCCCCCATTGGGTCTCACTTGCTCTCCTACTTGCCTACGATATGAACCTAGTCTTCTCTGAATTCTCATATTCTTCATACATCATCCTAATGCTTCAAAAAGTTATCCATGCTGTCCCAGAGCCCTGAGGCCAAGGGCTCACATCTGTCTGATGGCCTCCTCACATTTTCCAGATGAGGGAATGGCAGTGCACTTTGAAGCAGGTGAGTCCCAGGTATTGGAGGAAGGGGTTCTAAAAGGTGGCCAAGGACCTCTGGCTTTTCCTTCTCCTGGGTTTCTGCCAAAGCAAGGAGATAGGGCCTGACTATACAGGAGAAACCTTCATGAAGATGACCTGTGCAGAGTCACTCATGCAGCCACCCAGCGTGGGGTCCTTCCAGCTCAGCTCTTGTTCAGCATGAAACTGACAGAAGTCGAGTTATTTTATGGGGCTAAGCGGACGAGTCAGGTTTGGCATTTTCAAAATGCTGATGAGATTCGCTGTCTCTTCTGACTGAGTTAGGAATCTACTCAGTCTATCTGGAGCTTTCTTACCCTCTTTATTCCTTCTGGTCAGAATATGCCAGCTACATCCGCAAGGACGGGAGAACGCAGTGAAGCTGACTCAACAAATAGTCAAAATGTGTTTCCTGATGTTAAATTGTGGCCATTTTTCTCCAGCCTTCTAAAAGTCCTTGATCAAAACAGACAGGATGCGATTTTAAAATATGGCACATCAAAACTGAAAGCACAAATTTTGAATGTCCTTGTATCTGAACTCATTGGGCTGTGTGTTACTCACAGCGTAAGAGCTGAAGTCTTTTTCTAACTTTATGGGCTCCTATTTAGGTAAGAATGAAATTTCTGAATTTTGACTGCTTGAGGACTGTTTATTCACACAGCCATCAGATAAAAATATCAAAATGAATTTAAGGGCCCTTCTGTGTTTAGGCATAACATACTCAGTTTGCCTCTTCTTGTCTCCAACTGGGCTGTAGAGAGGGCATGCCTTCCTCAAAACATTTGGAATGAGTTGAGTTTCAGGTTCCACTCTGCAAGTTCCTGTCTCTGGGATCTTGGTTAAAGTGCATAATCTCCATGAAACTAAGTTTTCTCACCTCTAAAATGGGGACAATAACTATTACTTTGGGTTTACTGGAGCAACATTTATAATTTAGCATAGGACATGGACGTCATAGGCAAAACAACAACAAAAAAGTCAGTATGTACTGCCTAAGCGCCTATTATATACCCTGGGCTGCTGTGTTTCTTGCTTGCTGTCCAACACTGGGACCACAGTTTGCATCACAGTCATCAGAGATTTGCATGTTTATTAGGAGGTTTTCATTTTTATTTTTTTGGAAGGAAATAAAATGTTTTGAAGAAGGTACACCTTTTTAAAATTCATACAAAGGCACCATTTTGGCTAGCAAAGGCTGGGTCATGGCCATGACAAATGACAAAAAAATACAATCTAACGGAGAAAGGTAACATAGAGACTCAAAAAAAAAATTGCACTGATTGATGATTGTGTTGAGTATCGAAAGAGCAAGTGTCTATGTGGTCTAGGAGGGAGGAGAAAGCATTCCTTCTAGATTGAAGAGCCACTGAAACTCAGCAGCAATGATGGTTTTAAGATATGTCTACAAGTTCCTTGATATTCCTCCCTTTAAAATATGAGCCTCACTCCTCTCCCTGTTGGGCTATATTTAGTGACCCACTTCGAGTGAATTGAATGTGATAGACTGCCATCGCACACACTGAATGTGTGTGACCCAGGATACTGAACTGTATGAGGCAGTGTGGCATCCTCCTTGCTCCCTCTCCCTGGTCACTCTTTCTGGGGGAAACCAGATGCTATGTTATAAGGACTCTCAGGCAGCCCCTGGGAGAGGCCCATGTTGTAGAGAATTGAGCCCTCTTGCTAATAACATGCGAGCCATCTTGGAAGTGGTCAAGCCTCATCTTGCCTGTAGCCTCGTGAAATACCCTGAGCCAACACCACTTTGCTAAGCCACTCTAGCATTCCTGATCCACAGGAACTATGGTAATTGTTTAAAGTTACTAAGTTTTGGGATAATTTGTTATGCAATAGATCACAAACACAGTGGTGAAAAGTTCCCAAAGGAAACTTCCCTTTGGTTGGAGCCTGGAGGCCTGGGCTGGGTGACTGAGATGTCCAACTTTCTCTATTATAGGAAGTTAGGATTTAGCCTATCAGCAACCTATTCAAGCCAGAGGGTGCTTTTACACAGGGGAGTGACATGATCAGAGCTGATGGTATTTCTGGCATGAAATGGAATGGGGAAGAGGCTGATTGCGGTGTGATGGAGATTTCCAGTTAGGAACTTCTAGAATCAACAGTTCAGGTAAGAGATGATGAGAATATGAACTAAGGCAATGGCAGAGGGGTGCATATGGAAGGCTGTCTTAAGATTTGGTGGTTTTCAGAAAGAAACAGGTAGTTTCTAAGGCCATCTAGTGCAATCATGTTTCACTCTGCATTGTGTAGGAAAAAAAAAAAGTGTGAACTATTCAACACCACCACATTTATACCAACATTATTGTCTTATACACACACGATACTTCCATGAGCTTAGAAAAATGAGCCCTTCACAAAAAGTACTTCACAAGAAATACCACACTCTTAGGATTGAATATTAAGCATTTGAAATGTTCTTATAGAAATGCTAGTTCAAGAACAAAAAGAAAGCGCTCCGATCTTCCATTGGAACCAAAAGCCTCACATTTGTCCATTGTACAAGTAAGCCACAGAGGATTAGACTGAATTGTAGTGGGGTGATTTATAGTCCTGTCTGAATACAGATCGCACATAGTATTGAAATACTGGAAAATTCAAACAGTCTATGACTCAAATAGCACAAGCAGTGACAGTAAATTAGCTAAGTGGTCATCTCCCCAGAAAAGGGTTTCCTTAGGAAAATAATATCTATTTTTAATATGTCAGTAGCTTGAGAAAGAGATGAATATGTCAATGCAAAGTCACATGTGTTTTAAAAGGCCACATTTCTACACAAATGGTAAGAAATAAAATTTTGTTTTATTTTGTTTTTTTAGAAAATTAATTTTTATTCTATTATATTGAACACATTGTGTCATCCCCACTCATAGCTGCATTCCAAAATATTTCCTCTTGGAAGCAGGGTTCTAGTTTTACTGAACATGAATAAAAGAACCAGGCAGAATTCAAAAACAGGAAAGTCAAGAAAGCAAATTTGCTTTTCAGAAGGAAAATGTTTATAAACAGTAATAGTTGAGAATCATATAATTTGTTTCTGAAAATTACCTTTTCAATAGGGCTGTATTTTACATTTGCATATTATATGGAATTTTATAAGAAACATTAATTTTTGAATAACTTGATGTAATAAACAACCATGGAATACTCAGTGTCCAAATATAGCAAATAGGACATGTCCAATAAGAGGTATATTATTTCTCTTACAATAATGGGGAAAATGTAAGTTCCTTGAGGCAGAGACTGTGTTGTTGACCGTGGCAGTCCTGTGCCTACCGTGCTGTCTGAAAGGAGTCATTCCACAAGTGACAGGAATAAGGAAGGAGTGGAGGAGCGAGTGTGTAGACACGTGCCATTGTACAGGTGTGGGGCTGGTACAAATAAAAACAAAGCCATACATTTCAAAGATACGCCTCCAAGGTAAGAGCTCATAAATATTTACAACTCAAGAGTCTTGTGGAAGATGTACAAACATCCTGATGTTTAAGAAAAGACAAAACTAACACAAGTGTGAACTGAGATGCTGCAGCATATTTTAAGAACACTGCTGTTCAGAGTCATTGGAATATGGTGAAACCTTAATGAAATAATGTTTCATTATTTCAATAATGAAAATTATTGAAATAATAATTATTGACTATCAAAAATCTACTTCTGATTCATAGTCAAAAGTTAAACTTTTGTGGAAGGAGAACAGAGAAGGACAAAGAGAAACCACCACCATTAGTGCCTGCACCAGAGCAATTTATTAGCGTAACTTTTTCATTTTTTTCTTTAAAGATTTCGTAACAACTGAAGTATGTACAAAGTCTTACAGCATTTACACCATAAAAAGTTTCCTATTAGCTGATGAAGTCTAACGTAGTGCTGCTGAGAACTTCAGACATAGCAAAAGCAATGAGGCAAACCACTTGTAGGTTTCCCTCTCAGCCGCCACATCTTGGTGTCAGCTGAGTGATAGCTAAGAGTACCACTTGGAAGACAGGTTATTGGGGAAAAAAGGGGACAAGTTGATGGGCAGCACTAGAGACTACGGGGTGGAAAAGCTACATAGCATTGTGTTTCTACAGTTTCCTAGAGCTGTAACAAAGACCCACAGCCTGAGAGAATAACATATACAAGACAACAGAATCACGCTGCTCAGATATAGTTTAGCTACCAAGTGCATTCACTTTTGAATGGGAGGCTCTACTGATATGGCTGATATTTCCATTTCTGTGCGAACCTGCACAAGCCCCACTCCCTTCCTCCAAATCAAACAACAACAAAGGGAGAGGGAAAGAAACAGCATCAAATTAGTAGTTCTTGACCAAAACAAAACAAAACAAACAAACAAACAAAAAAACCCACAAAAAAACCAAAACTTTTTTTTAAAGGCATTCAGTATCTGTTTCAGGGTGGCCATTCTGTCAAAAGATAATATTAAAAATTTCTGAATTATCCCAAATCAGAACAACAACAAAACCCCCAAACATCCAACCTCCTAGATTTACCCATCCTTCATTGTATCTGATCATCTTTTCTTGGGGTATTACACAGAACCACCAACATTTACACACTGAATCAGACACAAAACGTAGCATTGTTACCCAAACGACTGCTTCACTAAGTGGAAAGAGAATTTCAACATGTAAATGATTAATGTCAGGCTCACCACTTTATTCCACAGAAAACCCAGCCTGGTTCTATGTTCGGTCAGTCACTATCTGTTTGACAGCAGATCCCAATCACTGTCCCATGGGAATAGTCTTACATGTAGGCAAAGTGGCTTTTTATTTCAAAAAGATTCTGCTCTCAACTTAAAAGCCAGTTGATAAAACTTTTAATTAAGACACAATAGCGCAGGATATAAAAACACAAGAACCACATAAATATCGAAGAAGTTGTATACCATTTTCATGTAAACAGTTTTGCTTAGGAGCAAAGCCCTAATCAGATTCTGGCCTGAAACTTTTGGCAGATGATGCATGTTCAGCCAGGCTCTGCAGCGATGGTGACGCGGAAGCCAGGTCAGTCCCCATGTTGACAGGCATGCAACTTGAAAACATTGCACAACAAGCAACACAAAGAGTGAAGAAGCTCACAACACTTCAAGGAGACCTCACAACCTTCACGACTGCATAAGCACAGAGACCCACCCTCCCTCCTTTCCACGCACTGTCTTACACGTGGGAGACCTTCTGTGACTCTCTAGCTTGTTTGATGCTATATAACCACTTGATGATTCTAGCATTTCTCTCGATGGCAGAAATGCCATACGGCACGCGGTCATTGGCACTGTCATCATTTCTAAGGTCACTGTTACTGTCCTGAGACTGTTCACAGTCTGAGCTGATCATGCTTGCGCTGCGGAAGTTGAGGGATATTATGTCAGAATTAGCCCTTGCAAAGTTTTCCATGCCCAGGTTTTCCAGCTCTTCCGGGTCCAGCCCACAGTAGTTGAAGAACCTCTCCACGTCCGCGTCCACTCGGAAATATCTGTCACTCAAGTCTGACTTAGACCGCTGGAGGGAGGGTCTCCGGCTGACTCCACAAGCTGGTTCCACAGGATCGGCCTCGGGGGACTTCATGGAGGCGATGGCTGCGATTTTGGGCTTGGGAGGCAGAGGAGGGGCAGAGCTACTGCAGGGGATGGCCTTGAGGGGCTTCACGCTGGTCACCTTGCGGATGTCCGAGGAGCTGTGGGACACATGGAGGAAGGACTCGGCCGACTGCTCCAGCAGTCTCCTGCTCACGTGGGAGCCGCCCTCCTGCGGGCTGCCGCGGCCCTGCGTCGGGTAGACCTTCAGGGACTCCGCGAAGGAGTGCCGGTGCAGGTCAGTAGCTTCCGAGCGGTGGGGCGGCCAGTTGCGGGAGCTGTGCTTGTGCCCTGAGCCTGAGCTGGAGCCCTCGGAGCTATTGATGATGTTCTTCAGAATCTCCAGCTTGAGGTTCTCCCTCTGCACGCCGCTCTCGGTCTTGGCATGGTTGCCGAACACTTTGAGCGTGGGGCTGCCCAGCGCGCGCTTGGCAGCCGGGCACACCGGGGGCTTGGCCAGCACGGCGGGCTTCACCGGTTCCTGCTTGGCGTTGATCACCTCCTGGCTCTTGACGTACTTGGCCTTGTCGGCCTCCAGCCTCTCCACGGCGCTGAGCCTCTTGGGGTTGGGCTCGGCCTGCCTGCGGAAGTACTCTGGCCCCTTGTTGAGGATGCGCAGGGGCACGGCCGAGGTGAAGGTGCCCGCGGGGCTGACCGGCTTCACCATGCTACCTGTCTGTAGGGTCTCCGTGGGCATGGTGGGCGGTCTTTCCCCGGCAGCCGTGTTGGATGCTCTTCTGGGCGCCTCCGCACGGCCTGAATAGACACATGTACATGAAGCAACGCGGGCGGCGGGTGCAGCCTGGGAGCGAGTGTCAGCAGCGGCGGCCGCAGCAACGCCTCATCTCACAGCTCATTAACCGCCGCGGCGCCTTTCACACACTTTCCTCTCCTTCCAGGCAGCCCTTGGACAAAAAGGCCACAAGCCACAAGTTCCTTTAATCTGCTTCGCTGCCTCCTTTCTTCTCCCTGAAGGAGGTGGGAGTCTCCTCCAGGTCTTTGTGTTCAACTGCAGGCAGAGCTGAAACACAAAACAACCAACCGCGGGTTAGGAGGGGCGGGTGACATCACGGCTCTAGCAACAAACCCCGCAGCGCCCCCGCCCCGCCCCTGCGCGGCCGGCCGAGGGTCGCAGGCCGCAGCTCCGGAGCTGTTCCCCCAACCAAGCGAGGGGGACGACCCGGGCCGTGTGCCCCCGCCTGCGCCGACCCGCGGCAGCACAGCGCGATGCTGGGAAGAAAGAAAGGGCTGAGGTTTCCCACGCGCGAACTCTTCCAGCTGCCTCCGGATTGGTGAGATCCGCCTTCTGAACATGCCCGGTTGGCATTTCTCAGCTCAAAACCCAGCAAATACTAGATGAACGTACGAATGAGGGTCTAGCCAAGCCCAGTTCCCCAGCTCATTACAAGCCACCAAGTTCCTACAAATCCTTCTTTTGCAATGAAGCAAAACTTCTCCCTCCGTATTGCCTTCGTGCTACCACATCTCTCAGGGACACTTCCAACAGTCACTTTTTAAACTTCATAAACTGAAAAGGGTAAGAAATGGGTTTGGCAGGAAAGCTACAAAGTTAAAACAACAAAACAAAACAAAACAACATGTTTCAGTTATCTTACCTTGGCCAACTAATACATTTAAAAACACTTTCTTCTGCAAACCACTAATGCGTATGGAGTTCCTCCCATTAAACACAAGCTTATTTTTTTTTTAACATTAGAAGAAACCTAGAAATACTTCCAGATTTACCATATGAGTAGATAATTTAATTGTCCCTAAGTGCTCCATAATTTTTAATACTTAATGAGCAGAAATCAAAAGTTTCTTTATGGTATGTATATTCCCAAATCCCCTATATTACTAGGAACAAAATCTTAAAAATGTCAATCATACCAATCCCAGCACTTTAGGAGGCGGAGGTGGGCGGATTACGAGGTCAAGAGATCGAGACCATCCTGGCCAACATGGTGAAACCCCGTCTCTACTAAAAATACAAAAAATGGCCGGGCATGGTGGCACGTGCCTGTGGTCCCAGCTACTCGGGAAGCTGAGGCGAAAGAATCGCTTGAACCCAGGAGGCAGAGGTTGCAGTGAGCCAAGATTGCGCCGCTGCACTCCAGCCTGGTGATAGAGCAAAACTCCATCTCAAAAAAAAAAAAAAAAAAATTTCACTCATACCTAAAAATATGTTATTTTAATACTATAGAAAACTTGAGTCACAGGTAAGCTTTTATGGGACAGCTTGACTACCAAGCCAACAACAACAAATCTCACATGTCAATAGTGGAAAGTTTATCAATATTCCTACTACAATTCTATAAGGAGTCTTTCTATTTCCTATGCCATATAATGTAACACTTACCCCCGCAGTCCCTGGAACAACTCCTCCCATAGCCTGTTACTGCAGGCAGAGAATATTTACAGATGCATCAGCACTCCAAAGCAACAGCTAATGACCTTATCAACATCTTTGGTTATAATTAGGAATGTTCAGAGATTAACCTATTCAACTAACATGCCAAATAACTAACTTTCAAAATAGATAATGTCATATTACAACCAAATCTCCCGATATTTCTCCTTATAATCTTCTGAAATTCTTAAATCTCTAAATGCAACCCATCACAGTGTTTTGTTAGAGATAATTTTAGTAATCTTCGAAGGGATTTGTTCTAATAAAAATATTTTCCTATGCAAGATTTGAGAAACCCCAAGGCAATACACATTAACAATTTCCTTTAATTGTGTGGTTCTATTTTGATACCTCAATTTAGTTTAAAAAACCACCTCCTCCCATTAAGATGAAATGAGATTGTTTCTTTGAACACATGTTGAATGAAATGCCAGAAGGGAGCCCCGATTCCTCTGGAGGCACAATCTCATCCTCTTTACAGAGAAGACTCAGAGCCAGAGCAGGCAGCAGAGCCTCGGCCAGGATGCAACTCTGAGGGCATCATACCCAGGTCTCTTGGGAGAGGTCTGACCCCAGGACAATATCAGAATGTTTAGGGACAGTGAGGGGCAGGACCAAGATCTGCACCCTTCAACTTTGTGCCTGAGGACCAGAGTGGGAACATCATCCAGTGGGCAGTGGGAGACAAAGCTCATCTCCCTTCTCCTGGGGCATGAGTTAGTTGGACAAGATTCCTTCAATCCTGTCTTACTCTAAATTGGAGAGGTTCTGAGGATCTAAGAATGAAGGACTTTTTTCCAGTTTCAAAATAGCACGTTGGAATACTGGTGAATGACTGAACTTTTCTATGGTCCTGCACTGACTGTTCTTAGGACAAAGCGCTTTGAAGATGAGCTGTAGTTCTCATGTAATATCACTCCTCATGCAGGCCTGTGCGTCTCTTCTAACCATCCTCTCTTCTAGTTCCATCACATTAGGACCAGAAGCCCAAAACACCTACACCCCTGGCCTGGCCTTCTGTGCACACCTGCAGGTCTGTTATGGTAGGCTTTGGAACTGCTGGCAACACTGAATAAAAAGCCTGACTTTTGGTCAGGCATGGTGGCTCATGCCTGTAATCCTAGCACTTTGGAAGGCTCAGGTGGGCGGATCACAAGGTCAGGAGTTAGAGACCAGCTTGGCCAACATGGTGAAACTCCATCTCTACTAAAGAAAAAAAAGTTAGCCCAGCACAGTGGTGCGTGCCTGTAATCCCAGCTGGAGATTGAAGCAGGAGAATTGCTTGAACCCAGGACGTGGAGGTTGCAGTAAGCTGAGATCATGGCACTGCACTCCAGCCTGAGTGACAGGACAAGACTCTGTCTCAAAAAAAAAAAAAGCCTTATTGTCGATTCACGAGAGTGAGAACTACCAGTCTATCTTCTAGGAAGTATTCTCCAGAATGCTTCTCGTCTTTCTTGCACACTGCTTTCTCTAGTCATGCAGCAGACACCCTCAGGACGGCTCCTCCAGCACTCACAATTTTTCCACACTCCTCGACAATTACTAATCTTAAAACCCGTGTGAAAGAACTATGTCAGAAATAGCAATTATCTGTAAGTACTTCATACCTCATTTCCTTTTGGCTTCTACCCCTTCCCCATTCTATTCCCAATTTCCCTAATAATTTTCAACACAGTGATGATGTTTTGACATGACCATGGATAGAGTTTGTAGTTTTGATGTGAACTCAGGGGAGGAAAAAAACAACATTATATTATTGAAAGACCTAAAAGCAACAGGAAAAAAACTAAGGATACTGTTTGGGGTGTGGTAGGATACTAAGGCATACTCCAAGTTTTCTACCTGGTATAGCCAACGAAGTAAACCTACTTCGAAGATAAGCAGGTGACTTAGGCTGCTCTTTCTTGTAATATTTACTCAATCCTTAACTCTGGTTCTTTTATTTTTTACTGTGAAACAGTGTTGGCAGGGTCAGAACTATATAGTGCTGGAGAAATATTCTGAGTTTTGTACGAGATAACCATCAAGTCACTTCAGAGAGCACTGTGGCACATGACACTCTACAGTCTTTGGCCTTGCTGCCGGCCCTCTCATGTCCTGAACAGCCCTGAGATGCAGCCAGGCACTGATGGAATGGTCAGGCCACCTGCCAGGCTGTGAGGGGCTTCTTGTTGTTTTGAGGAATGAAAATTAGATCTTGGCCCTATAGGGTTTCATCAACAAAAGTGATTATATAGCTTTGCCTGATCCTTGACTTATGACTCAGGATGGAGAACACAGCCTGAGGGTGGGAGAAACTTCCATTCGCAAACCATCTTGGCTCTCTTCTACTCTGTTTAATATCCATTTGAAAATTTCATGAAGGGATTAAAAGGATCGGGGAAAAGAAACTTGGCAAAGCCAACGTGCTAAATGGTTTGCTGAATCAGAGCAGATATGAACTCAAATGTGAACTCAAAAGCAATCTGGCCTGGGGGTGATGGTGGCGGGGTGAGGGCATATCATCTTTGGGGGAGTCCTGGTCTGTGCAGGGAGAACATGTGTCACATAGAGCCAGCTGAGAGCAGAGCATCCAAAGACAAGGAAGAGCAACGTTATCTCCCGCTACTCACTCTAGTGGTGCTTCTCAACCGTTAATGGGCCTGCAAACCCCTCAAGGATCTCCTTAAAGCACAGTGTGATTTGTTAGATTTGGGGTGAGGCCCCTGATTATGGATTTCTCACCAGATCGCAGGTGATGCTGTTTGTTGCCTTTGAGTAGCAACAGGAAAGGTGGCAAGCCCATTTCTGTGCTAGCCAGCATTCTATTAGAGCCCAAATGCCTCCAGCACAGAGGAAACAGGCCAAAGTTTCTTCTCTGAATGAGCAAAAGTCTGAGCTTTTAAGGCCCAGAAACAGCAATCTCAGAGAATTCCAAGTTTTTAGAACGAAAGTGGCCTGAACCTTTCTAATTTCCAATCTGCCAGCTCCTCACAGGTGCAGTCAGGTGAACAGGACCCTCAGCTGAACTATAACCTTGGGGAGACTTAAGAACATTTGCAATCCTGAAGGTGGTTAGACACAGAGAATGAACCTTATACACAGATTATTTCTTTTTAAAAAAGCTAAAGCCACAGTTGATGTAATCCGGGCAATTTGTGCTTCGAAGCCTTTGAGGCCAGGCCAATAATGGGAGAGTGTATGGCTTGGGGAAAGGCACCCCCAGCTAAGGGCTGCCATGGGGAATGTGGCTCACTGTTGACACAGCAGCAAATCCAGAGCTCTGCACAAACTCTCTTGATTTAAAAATTCAATATTAAAAACATTGTTGGCCAAACTTCAGTCTGCTGTTTCATTACTTCCTCTTTAAAGAGTGCTTCCGGTAACTAAAAAGAAAAGGATAGTTCATGGTTAGTCTTTAAATTTTCAGTAGGAAAGAAAGCACTGGAGTTACAGCAAAGGCCCTGGGAACGGAACACAGCCTAGATTCACCCACAGAAGTTTCTATGTGACAGTGAGTAATTCCCCTGTGTCTTACAGCAAGAAAAGGGGGATAACACTATTCTAGAGCAAGCCTGAGTAATTCAGCTCTAAGTCACCTAACATTTCAGTGTCTTGATTTTCTTATC